CACAGAGCTGGACATGACACTTAGGCTGGATTTCACAACCCTGAGATCACAAACTAAGCTGAAACCATGAGTCAGATGCTTAACCAACTATACCACCCAGACAGCACAAAACCTTCTTAAAGTAAATCTCTTCCCTTTCCCTACCCAAAATCTTACCATGTAGAATGTATTCTTTCTTTTTTTCACTTCTTTCTATCCCTGGAATACATTCCCTCCTTTCTAATTTCACTATATTTTTCAGTATTGTGATATTTTGTTTCTAGAATTGTTGCTAACATGCTATCCTTATTTCTCTTATCCTACAAATCCACACTAATTTAGTTTTTCTAAAGCAGGAACCTAATATCGCCCTTTTCATACTTAAAATTATGTCATCAACCCACCTCCCAATATCACATCCAATCTCTAGCATAGCATATGAGCTTTTACCTGTGGTCTCTTCCTACCCTCTCCAGGATTGATTAGTTTAGATAATTATAACTGCTATCACACATTTCAATGGCTTTTCTTAATACAAGGCAATTTCTTGCTTACTTATCAAGGTGGGAGTTTCTAGTCTGTGGGTAGCTTTTATACACATGGTGTTTCAGGGCCACAAGATCTTTCTGTTTTGTAGCTCCACCATTTCATAAGGTCTCATCAACTTCTACATCAAGAGGGAGGGAGGGAGGGAAAGAGCATAGTGAAGGCTCACCTACTTCTTAAGAACCTTGGCTTGCAGAACATGAGAGACTCCTAACTCTGGGAAACGAACTAGGGGTGGGGGAAGGGGAGGTGGGCGGGGGGTGGGGGTGACTAGGTGACAGGCACTGAGCGGGGCACTTGATGGGATGAGCACTGGGTGTTATTCTAAATGTTGGCAAATTGAACACCAATAAAAAATAAATTTATAATAAATAAATAAATCGTATTAAATCTAGGATAAGATTAAATTACTTTCATATTCTGTGGTTCCATTTTTGTGATAAAGTTCCAATCAAAACCTTTCAAAAAAAAAAAAAAAGGACCTTGGCTTGGAAATAATACATTTGTTCCCTCTCACATCTATTGGTTGCAATCCACCACATGGTCACATGTTAGCTGAGTAATTACCAGCAACAATTCTATACTAAGAAAAAGAAAACACAAATGTTGTTGAACAGGTCATTGTCTTTGAATCAACATCAAGAGTTCAACTTCCTATCCCACCCCTTCTTACACCGTAGCATACTTAACCACTTATATTCCCAAAAGACACCAAGCCTTCACTTTGCCTATGTCCCGGCCTTGTGCTCATGGCTATCCTCTACTCTTTCAAAATTTAGCTGAAAAATCTTTTTGTATAGAAAACCATTACAGAACTCTTATTTCTGGATAAGTATTCTCTCTATATGTTCTATATATTCCTGTTATAAGAGGTGCTTGGAAAAATCTTGATAGGCTCAGTTACATACATTTTTACTTTAAAAATACCCATTTTTCTTCTCAGAGGGACTGAAAAAATAGCAGTATAGAAAATGAAACCTGACTCATTTGGACTGAATCTTAGTACCAATTCCTGAAAATATTTTTGGAAAGGTAACACAATTTAAGATTTTATAAACAGTTGTGACCATACGTCTGACAACATATAGTTTGTTAAAGAGGAACTTTTGGTTTGTTTTTATCTTTAGGAAAAACTTGTAGAAAATGATACAAAACTCTTTTGCTTAATAACAAATTCATTTCCTTATTTTTATAAGAAGACACCAGACAGCATCTCCCAGCTTGCTTCACATTTCAGTGTGGCCATTTAACTAAGTTCAAACCAAGGAAATGTTACAAGAAATGATGTGTGTCAATTCCAGGAGTGGCCCATAAAAACCTCCCATATACAACCAACTTCTTTCTTTTCTCTGCAGACTCAGTGTCAGAGTCCAGAAAAATCTTGGAGGCCATATACTAAAGATGTCAGTGCTTCCATTAGCCTGGGCCCTGTAGTCATGCTGTAAAACAGAGCTCCCACCCTACCAAAGGGGAACACTTCTATTTGGTTGTTCCATCGTATAAAAAGAAAAAAACTTTCTGTTGTATCAGTAAAGTTTGGAGGTAGAGGTTGAAAATGCCACCAGCATTATCCCAAATAATATGACCCAATGTTGACAACTAAAGTATTTGTGTTTGGGAATCTAATTGGAAAATTCAAAACCTTTGCTAAGGTTAATATTTCAATACAAAAAGTTTTATCCTAATACAAAACTAAAAATAACCTTAAATAGCTTAAATAAAAAGACTGAATCACAAAGAGCTACAACCAAGGTGTAATATTTTAAAATCCTACACACCACCATGCAGAAGAGGACAGCAGTGAAGAGGCTTGTTTATTTTGAGTATAAAATTGGACACAAAGCTAAAATAAATATCCTTGGAGAGTCCATAACGACAAGCCAGCCTTCAGAGAACAAGTCATCTGGAGCTTTAATAAGTCCAGGATCAGTGTTATAGGTCATCAGTGCCATCAAGTCCTTGAACTCTTTCCATGTTTCTATCATCCTCAAGACTTGTCCTCACATAGTCTCAAGACGGCTGTCACAATTCCACATAATCATTGCCATATATAGAGGAGAAGGAGGCATACACATACCTATATGTACATATGTGTGTGTACACATACACATTAATGTGTATAGAGTATGTGTATATGTGCATATAGGTATGTGTATGTGTGTTTACATACATATGTACACGTGCAAACATACATAAAGTTAAGCAGAAAGCACATTTTTAGAAGTCTTCTAGAAGATTTTCCCTTAGCCAAATCTGTGTAATATGCCCACATGTAAACCAATCACAAGGAAAGGAGCTGATTGTCTAGTAATGAAAAATCATCCTTTGCTTTAGGACCCTCTTTCCATAAACATACTGTTCTCCAATACCTTATAAAAATAGGATTCCTTTCAGGTCCATTATTAACCCACTGATTCAGAAAAACTGAAGGCAGAGGGGATCCCTGGGTGGCTCAGCGGTTTGGCGCCTGCCTTTGGCCCAGGGCGCGATCCTGGAGACCTGGGATCGGGTCCCGCGTCAGGCTCCCGGCATGGGGCCTGCTTCTCCCTCCTCCTATGTCTCTGCCTCTCTTTCTCTCTATGTCTATCATAAATAAATAAATAAATCTTAAAAAAAAAAAGGAAAAGAAAAATTGAAGGCAGACACTCACAAATTGAATTTTAGGAGAATCTCAGGTAGTTCTATTGCATGCTAAAATCTGAGAACTACTTGACCATGTAAAAGCAAATAGTAAGTTTTGGATAGCCAACTAATAGTTTATACCCTAGTTAAATATTTTCTAATTAAAGATGGTACTCTTCTTCAAAGACCATAATAAAATTAAATTGAAAACAGTTAAAACAAAAAGCACAAAAGCTGTAAAAACCACAAGGATTACAAAAAGATGATAATGTACAGGGGGAATAAGATTTCAATAAATTTAAGAAAATGGAAATAAAAGTCACATGTGGTAACTCTTTTGTAAGATACAGGAAGTTATAAAATGTGTAAAGAAGGATGTAAGAATAAGGAGACTCAACTTACCTCCATAGAATCCCAGAGAGCCTGAGCACTTAGTGAAGCCAAATAAAGGGGAGGGTAAAGTTGAAAATTAGAAATTAAAGTGAGAAATGCTTGAAAGCCTATATTCAGAAGCCATTCATCCATCCTTCTCCCCATTGAGAGAATGTGGAAATGATATGTACCAACCTAAGCAAGGTGTAGGAGACTTCTGCTTAAAACAGAATGGGGGCAGCCTGGTTGGCCCAGCAGTTTAGTGCCGCCTTCAGCCCAGGGCGTGATCCTGGAGACCTGGGATCGAGTCTCATGTCGGGCTCCCTGCATGGAGCCTGCTTCTCCCTCTGCCTGTGTCTCTGCCTCTCTCTCTCTCTCTCTCTCTCTCTCTCTGTGTGTCCCTCATGAATAAATAAATAAAATCTTAAAAAAAAACCAGAATGGGAATATCTAGGGATTCAAGAAAAATAATCATATAGGAAGAAAGTTTGAAAAATAACATTGAAAATGTCATCTAGTAGATTTCTACAGTTTTCCTGCCCCATCTATAGGAGAAGCTCAACAGTCAGGAAACTAAACTGTAAACAGATGCTTCTACAAGCACTGGACTCTGGGCATCTACTCTGGCTACCATAAAAGTGTTAAAACCAAAGACATATTTAAGGCCAATTCAGGTGAATTTCCTACACCAAGAAGGGGGAAAAAACTAAGAGCCCCACTAAAACCCGGGTCTGTAGAATTACCACCTTAAAACATGACAGAGATGTAAACCCCACCATGTAGGAGGGAAGGGCACAGAGAAAACTTACCCCCTTGACCTTGGTGCTAGATATGAGAAAGACGGATCTATCTGTCATCGTAAAGTTCTTAAGTTATAATAACATCATTGATTTCAGACAAAATAGACTTTGAAGGAAATCTGTTACTAGAAATAAAGAGAAACACTTCATTATTGATAAAGGTTCAATTCACCAGGATAATATAACTACTTTTAGTTTTTGCTGATCATATAAGCACAAAATATTAGGAAAAAAGTCAGACAAGAAGAAATAGACAAATCTATCAATATGGTGAGAGATTTTAATATTCCTCTGAATAATTAGTAGAATAAGCAAAGTACCAGCTAAAGTAACAGCATAATTAAGAAATTGACCTAATACAAAAAAATATAATACCATATTCAACAATTGAAGAGTACACCTATTTTTCAAGTGTATTTAAAATATGTAAAAAAATCTCAAATGGTTGAAACCATTTATAGCATGTTCTTGTACCACAATACCATTATAAATAATAACTAGAAAATTCTAGCTTCTTCATAAGACATCAAGAAAGAATCATAATGGATGTCCTGGTGTACAGTAGGCTTTTTAAAATAAAATGTGAAGGCCAGAGATCATAGGTGAAAACACAGGTGCTCACTTTGGTGGCACATAAATTAAATTGGAATGATAAAATATAAATAAATAAATAAATAAATAAATAAATAAATAAATAAATAAATAAATGAGATGATACTGAGAATATTAGCATGGCCACTGCGCAAGGATGGCACAAAAATTCGTGAAGTGTCCCACAGTTTTTTAAAAAGTAAAAACACAGTAGAAGATGATTAAAAATGAAAGAGTTGTGAAAGCAACTTTAAATAGGATAAAATCCAGAGACCCACTAAACTAAAAAAAAACTCCCTCATTTAAAAAATGAGGGATTCAATCCACGAAATTAAAGAGCACAACAAATCAGCAACAGAAAACTCTGTACTAAATATTAGACATATCATAGAGCATGGTAAAATATTCAGTAATTCTATGAAAGATTATTCTATATTACTTACAATCTGAGTTAACATAAACAATAATAAGGTCATATGTACCTTATAATAAGGTCATAGCAAACATTCAGAATTGATCCTCAAGAAGTGAAGACATGTGATAAAACAAGCATTTCCATACTTTCGTGACAGAAGAACAGAATGACGGGTTTTCTATAGTGTATATACACATAAGGATATGTGCAAGGTTGATGACTGTAGCATAATTTGTAATTATAAAACAGGAAATAAACTGCACCCAGATGATTAGATCGAGACCATCCTGTATCAGAGGCAAGGGGGTTTCTAAGATGCATCCTAAAGGAGAAAAAAAACGTGCCCCAGATAACAGTCTGCATGAAACAATCTTCTTTATGTAAAGAAACACTACGTACACGTATGTATATATGTTCGTATATATAATGATATTTATTCAGCGCTTACTCCTTAGCAGGCATCACTCTAAACTTCTTGCATATTTTAACTTCTTCAATCCTCATAAAAATATTATGAGACGGATACACTACTACCCTCACTTTACAGATTAAAAAAGAGGCACAGAGATTGTAATTTGCACAAAGTCACGGAGACTGAGAAGGGATTCAGATCTAAGTGGCAGGTTTCCCCCCTCCTTTTTACTTCTTTTCTCAATTTCATTTTCTATTGCTCTCCCTTCCCTCCCCCTCTTCCTTCCTCCCGCCTACTTCCTCCCTTACTCTTCAAGTATCTGTTGCTAGGGTCCTGGGAAGAAAAGGAGAGGGGAGCTGCCCAAGACGCCTTTCGCTTTATTTATCCATATTCAGCTTTATTGTTTGGAAGATCCTGTATTACTTTTGTAAATAAAACACTTTAAGGAAAAAAAAAGAATCAATGAATCCTTCAGTTTAAGCAATAGGAGTTCGTTTGGTTTTTTTTTTTTTTTTTCCAATATGAGTTTATTGAGCCTGTTTGCCAGTGGCGGGGGTGGGGGTAGATGGCAGAAAAATTAAACACTCTAAACACATCTAGTCAGTTTGACTCTTAAAAGTTCGCAGCCTTGGGGACCCCTGGGGGGGGCTCGGCGGTTTAGCATCTGCCTTCAGCCCAGGGCCTGATCCTGGGGTCCCGGGATAGAGTCCCACGTTGGGGTCCCTGCAGGGAGCTTGCTTCCCCCTCTGCCTGTGTCTCTGCCTCTCTCTCTCTCTCTCTCTCGAATAAATAAATAAATAAAATCCTAAAAAAAAAAAAGTCAATGTGTAGTTTATAAAAAATAGTAAGTAAGTAAGTAAATAAATAAATAAATAAAAAGTTAGCGGCCTTTGGTGGAGAATGAGGGATGGGCGGAGAGAGGGAAAGACAGACACTGAGAGAGCCAGACAGACAGCGAGCCAAGACGGAGAGAGCTAAAGAGAAGAAGCCCCATGAAGAAACGCGAGCTCGACCCCGGGCCGTTTGCACCCGAAGCGCCGCCCGGAGCCTGGAGCGCCGCGAGCCCCAGGGATGCAGGCTAAGGCCGGAGAGACCGACGGAAGCTCCCGGGAGGCCCGCGCCCCCCCCACCCCCACGGCGGCCCCGCCCCCTCCGTGACTCCCGGGGCCCGGCTGCCCCCGCCTCCCAGCGCCTCGCCGCCCGGGGCCCCGGAGCAGACGTCAGGGCCCGCAGGGCGCAGGGGGCGCAGCGGGGCCCGCGGCGAGCGCGCGCTCGGGGCACCGGCAGGGGCGGGGACGCCGCCACCGGGAAACGAAACCGTCTGACCTCGGCGGCGCAGAGGTCGCTGCGAGGTTCCGCGGCCTCGCCCTTGGCAGCATCCGGGCAGCATCCGCACGCGACGGCCACAGGTGGGCGGGCGGCGGGCTCCCCGCCAGGTGCGCGGGGGGGGGGGGGTTCTGTACCTGTGCGGGGCGCGGGGGCACAGGCTGGGGGCCGGGGTCCTGGCGGCGGCCACAGGTGGGCGGGCGGCGGGCTCCCCGCCAGGTGCGGGGGGGGGGGGGGCGGAGGGGCTGTACCTGTGCGGGGCGCGCGGGCACAGGCTGGGGGCCGGGGTCCTGGCGGCGGCCACAGGTGGGCGGGCGGCGGGCTCCCGCCAGTGCGGGAGGGGCGGAGGGGCTGTACCTGTGCGGGCGCGCGGCACAGGCTGGGGCCGGGGTCCTGGCGGCGGCCACAGGTGGGCGGGCGGCGGGCTCCCGCCAGGTGCGCGGCGGGGGGCGGAGGGCCGTACCTGTGCGGGGTGCGCGGGCACAGGCTGGGGGCGGGGTCCTGGCGGCCCGGGGAGCGACCCCCGAGCAGCGACCCGCCTGCGGCCCCCACCTCCCGGCCCGGCCCGCCCCAGGGCTCAGGTGTGCCCGCGCCCCGAGGGTGCTGAACACCTGTCCGCGGCGCTGAGAGTCTGAGCTGCGGCTGCGGGCAGCGTGGGGGGGGGGGGCGGGGGGGGTTAGAAGGGCGATTCGCAGGCCCCTCGGAGCTGTCATTTAACAGTGAGTATCCACCTCGGGGAAGGCTGGGCCCCAAACTGTGCGAGCCGCCTGGAGCTCCGCGCGCGGGCAGGAGGGAGGGAGGTGCTTTACCGCCCACAGGCGGACCCTAGACCCGAGGCTCCCGAGTCCGTCCACCTGCCTGGGGCACCCCCGCCTCTGCTACTTAATTCCTGCGGACTCCGAACCCGTTTCTTCATCTCTGGACCTTGCTGGCTCCATCTCTGAAATTGCGTCAAGGTCAAAAATGAGTTCCGAGAGTCAAGAGTAGGATACTTAACTAGTGTAAGAGCTGTTGTCGGAGCTGTGTCCCGCGCTGCAGAAAGTTCTCATTAGGGTTAGCTTTTGGTATTTTTTCTTTTAAAGATTTTATTTATTTTTTCATGCGAGAGAGAGACAGGAGCAGGCGCCCTGCAAGGAGCCCCATGCGGGTCTCGATCCCGGATCCCGGGGTCACGCCCTGAGCCGAAGGCAGACGCTCCACTGCTGAGCCACTCAGGTGTCCCGCTTTCAGTATTTTTAATAGTCAAGTCCCTGCTTCTCCGAGATTATCATCTGGCTCCCAGGCGGTTTTATTTAGACAGCGATTCCTGGAAGTGGTAAAATAGCTACTACCCAGCTCCAGGAACAGGCAGGTATTGTTTCTCCTGGTTTAGCAATTCGAGAAACAGGATTAGTACAAGTGTCACTTCCGTAGAGGAAATTGTCAAACGATTTATGATTCCCTTTATCATCCTTGAACTTTCTTAATAGCAGAACTTTCTCTTAATACCATGCTCGCGAGCCGGACAACTGCAGGGCTTTGAACACTGAATAAACGCAAGGAATGAAAATTAAGGAAAAGGGAAATGAGTGGATTTCTGCAGTTGGATAGAGAAGGTGCATGTAAAATAAATAAGTGGCTGAATCTGAGACAAAGCAGCCTTCACATTTGTACGGGAGCTGTTCTTTATGGGAAAGGAGGGAAATAAAACCCTACACATCTTGTTCAGTCAGCAAGCACCAGTTAAGTGCCTTGTCCTGCACAAGACAGTCCATACTCTGGCCTTTGAGAGCATAAAACGCAGGTAGAGAGTAACTACGTTAGAACTGTCTTACACTTCTCTATTCTTTTTTCTGATCTCTCTCCCTCTTTTTTTTTTTTTTCCTGTAATCCACAAACCTTTCATTTCCTTGAATTAGTCAATCTCCCTCTAGCCACAGGACTTGTGCCAGTTGCCTACGCAATGCTTCACTTCCCCAACCCCCATCCATGGCCTAGTTGATTTTAGACAGCCTTTGGCTCTCAGATTCAAAGCAGGTTAGGGACAAAGAGTTCTGTCATCGTCTTTATTTGCTAAAATAATTCAGAACATATATCCACATCGTGGGCCTCAGAAAAATGTTAACTGATTTGTTGTTAAACAATTAAGAAGTAAACATGGATCGATGATTCAAATATAGGTTATGCCTGGTTTATAGGCATACTAGTCTTAGGAGCTATCAAAACTAGGGATGCTTCCTTTGGGTTCCAGATTGTACATAAATATTTTTTTGAAAGCAATAAGAGAAATTTCAGGACCCCCAAGAGATGGGTCAAGGATTTCACTGTAATATGAGTTCTGGAGCCATGACTGATGTCACCTGCATTATTTCTCTTCCCTGATGGAAGAGGTTTATAATTTTCAAAGAGCAGCAATGGGTCTTATAGTATCTGATGGAATAATTTTACCAGAAATATACTTACATGAATATAGTATATGATGCACTAATCTCTCATTTAACTGAATTTGGAAAAAGGGTATAGGGCAGCCCGGGTGGCTCAGCAGTTTAGTGCCTTCAGCCCAGGGCGTGATCCTGGAGACTCAGGATCGAGTCCCACGTCGGGCTCCCTGCATGGAGCCTGCTTCTCCCTCTGCCTGTGTCTCTGCCTCTCTCTCTCTCTCTCTCTTTCTCTCTCTCGTGAATAAATAAATATTTTTTTAAAAAAAAAGAAGGGTATAGTATTCAGATTATAATTTGAATTTATATATTTGTCCTGAAGTAATTAAGATTCCAGTGGTACAATATATATGACTTCCTTAGATTTTTTTTTTCTTTTAGTACAGGATAAATATGATGTTCTTTTCCTTGGAAGTTTTTCTAGGACTTGTTTCTTATTAAAGAAACAAGTGGGGGCATTATTAAAAAGTTATCATACTAATTAATTAATTCACCCAGGACTCCGTCTTACTCATTTCCAAAACTGAGTGACATTACCTCTTGTTAATAGACCCTTAAGTTTGACAAAATCAAAAGATCTCTGAAACAGCAAACAAGACTAGACAGGGTGACATGGTGAGTA